TGTGGGGATGCTTTTCTTCAGCAGGGACAGGGAAGCTGGTCAGAGTTGATGGAAAGATGAATGGAGCTAAATACAGGGCGATCCTGGAAGAAAACCTGTTAGAAGCTGCAAAAGACTTGGGACTGGGGCGGAGGTTCACCTTCCAGCAGGACAACGACCCTAAACATACAGCTAGAGCTACAATGGAATGGTTTAGATCAAAGTATATTCATGTGTTAGAATGGCCCAGTCAAAGCCCAGACCTAAATTCTATTGAGAATCTGTGGTAAGACTTGAAAATTGCTGTTCACAGATGCTCTCCATCCAATCTGACTGAACTGGAGTCTCTAGATGTGCAAAGCTGGTAGAGACATACCCCAAAAGACTTGCAGCTGTAATTGCAGCAAAAGGTGCTTCAACAAAGTATTGACTCAAGGGGGCTGAATACATATGCACATCACACTTTTCAGATTTTTATTTTAAAAAGATCTTGAACACCATGTATCATTTTCTTTCCACTTCACAATTATGCAATACTTTTGAGTTGGTCTATCACATAAAATCCCAATAAAATACATTTAAATTTGTGGTTGTAATGTGACAAAATGTGGAAAAATTCAAGGGGTATGAATACTTTTGCAAGGCACTGAATATATATATGTACAGGTCTGTTTATAAGTACTCTGCCCTTTTTTTATTATCTCTTTCCTAATGCACATTCCCTTGTTTGTTGACATGTATGTAAACATTGAGAGCCGCTGTATCAGAGTCATGTGTCCGACACACCTGGCCAATAAAGCTGATTTTGATTCTAACTTAAAATGGGCTAGATTGAAGGTGAAGCCAGAGAAATCATCGAGCATTTCAATAGTGAAAGGTGTGCTGTTGGATAAAAGGTTTTGTATAAATAATTAACAGATTCCAACAGTGTTAGAGAAACCAGTCAAAGGTTTAGGTGGCATGATGCAGCTCTTAGTAATAAAGAGCAGATTCAGTACTTGAGACAGCATAGAGGTGTCGGGCCTCCTAGGCAAACTCAAACTGGTGCCTGTAGTTTGGTCTCTTGCTGCAATTGTTATGGCCACTGACAGGTTATGATGTACCAATTTCTAAGGTAGAGAAGCTAGAGAGAACATTTAGCACATACATTAGGAAGTGGCTGTGAGCATGGCCTTATGCAGAAAGAGGGATTTTGGAGGTCCATGTAACCAGTTTAACAGAGAATTTTAAATGCTCTAAGGCTAGAATGGAGAGGAAGTGGAACCCGAAAGAGGTAGTGCTACAGGCTCAGGCAGCGCTTAAACATAAGGATATTGTAGGGCAGGTACGGCAGGGACGTGGTGGTTTTGGTTTAAGCACATCACAACCTTCTTGGAACAAAGCAGCAGCAACTGACAGTAGGAAGATGGTTATTGAGGAAATCAGGAGGCAGGAAGAGGCTGGTAGATGCTCACAGGCAGTCTCCCACGCTCAGCAGAGACAGTGGATGAGATTGGAAGAAACTTAGTTGGAAGTAAATGTGGGACATGAAAGCAGGAAGGATTAGATTCATTCTAGGCACAATTTATGATGTACTTCCTTCTCCCCAAAATCTGAACCGATGGTTGGGTGAGGACCAAAATGCCCCTTGTGTTCAGGTGTAGCTCTACTTCGGTATCCTCTCAGGGTGTACAACAAGCCTGGCTCAAGGACGAAACACCTGGAGACATGAGCAAGTGTTGAAAGGTTTAGCAGCAGCTATTGAAAGTAGGCGCTAGAAGTAAACTCAGTGGACGAGAAGAAAAAACAAGGGGATTTTGTTCATTTGGGAGGGTGAAAAAGTCAGGAAGCAAGTCGGTTTGAACAGCCAGGATGCAGGCCAGCTAAAGGCATGGAGAGATTGGCAAATTAAAGTCGATTTAGGGAATCAGCTCATAGGTCTTGGGGAGATAGTTAGCACTAACCTCATACCAGACCTTGTGTTGTGATCAGAAGCACAGCAGACTCTGTATTTTGTTGAGTTTACAGTTCCCTGGGAGGATGCTGTAAATGCAGCTTATGAGAGGAAGAAACTGAAATACACAGAATTAGCCATGGAGGCAGAGGAGCATGGCTGGAAAGCTAAAGTCCACCCCGTGGAGGTTGTAGGGGATTTGTAGCCAAGTCTCTCTTGTAGGTGAGTTAGGCAAAAAAGGGCAGAGCCTAAGACGGGTAATTAGGAATCTAGCTGATAGCACGCAAGGTCCAGTCAGTGGCTCTGGAGCAGAAGAAAGGTATGAATGGGGTTAAAAATAGGTAAGTGATTTATAAATGGCAGCATATATGAGTATTAGGCCTGTTAAGCTGAAGTAAACTAGCACAAGAGGACAGACTTAGTAAAAGTGTTTGATACATGCAGCAAGCTTGAGGCCTACTTCCTGGTGTTAGCATGGGCAAGCTAACACGAGGGCATAGTAGAATTTGACTGGTTTGTTGGAATGAATACTAACACAGGGTGGTTTCTGATGCAGTATAAAAGGAAGCAGACGTCTGGCTAGTTATCTGGTGAGCTATCTGAAACATTTTGTGAGTTATTTTAAATGTGTGGTGGCTAGAACAGCAGTTGAAATTTTTGATAGTCCTAGTCACTGTTTGGTAACAGTTATCCTAAATTAGTCTGAGTAGATGAAGGGCTGTGTTGGGTGTATGGATGCAGGCAAAGAGGGGGGTGATTCTGGGACACTGGAACACATTGTTGAGCCTTCTCGGTGTCGTGGGCCCAACTCAAAAAAAACACCAGTTAGTGAGAGGGTGCCCACCTGATGACCCTGTAGACTTGTCTTCACTCCTACACTTACCCCATACCCCATCCTAAGTGGTATGATGCCTGTGTCATTCCAAGATGTTTATACTTGCATAGTATTGTTTGTACAGATGAATGTGGTACCTTTTAGGTATTTGAAAATGAAAAAAGGATGAATTAGGCTGGTGGAGATCCACAAGTTATCTGGTGAGCTATCTGAAACATTTTGTGAGTTATTTTAAATGTGTGGTGGCTAGAACAGCAGTTGAAATTTTTGATAGTCCTAGTCACTGTTTGGTAACAGTTATCCTAAATTAGTCTGAGTAGATGAAGGGCTGTGTTGGGTGTATGGATGCAGGCAAAGAGGGGGGTGATTCTGGGACACTGGAACACATTGTTGAGCCTTCTCGGTGTCGTGGGCCCAACTCAAAAAAAACACCAGTTAGTGAGAGGGTGCCCACCTGATGACCCTGTAGACTTGTCTTCACTCCTACACTTACCCCATACCCCATCCTAAGTGGTATGATGCCTGTGTCATTCCAAGATGTTTATACTTGCATAGTATTGTTTGTACAGATGAATGTGGTACCTTTTAGGTATTTGAAAATGAAAAAAGGATGAATTAGGCTGGTGGAGATCCACAGTTTTTTTTCTGAGGTCTTGGCTGATTTCTTTAGATTTTCCTATGATGTCAAACAAAGAGGTACTGAGTTTGAAGGTAGGCCTTAAAATACATCCACAGGTGCACCTCCTGTTGACCCAAATGATGCCAGTTTAGCTCATCGGAAACTTCTAAAGCCATGACATCATTTTGTTGAATTTTCCAAGCTGTTTAAAGGCCAAGTCAACTGAGTGCGTGTAAACTTCTGACCCACTGGAGTTTTCATGTAGTCAGTTATAAGTGAAATAATCTGTCTGTAAACAACTGCTGGAAAAAGTACTTATATGTCCTAACTTGCCAAAACGGGAGTTTGTTAACATGACATCTGTGGAGTGGTTAAAAAAATCTGTTTTACTGACTTCAACCTAAGTGTATGTAAACTTCTGACTTCAACTGTAAATGTTTTATATGCATTGTGATTGTACAGTAATATTCCCACATTTTAACCTGTTGATCCCTGGGCTAGTTATTAGTTGAGTACCCAGGTTCTCTCTATATATACACTACATATTATTATGAAGGGTTGAAAACATAACCAAAATGACAGTTGGCTATTACTTATCTTGACATTTTTATAATCCTACTACATCTTTCTTAGTTTAAAACAGTTTCCTGAGTGGTAGCTTCATGATTATTTTACTTTGATGGGTGAATATCTTGAGCTTGTTTAGCATAGGACTGAATTTTTCCATTGTCTCTATATTGCCACGCATGCTTTTTTGCCTATGTTAAATTTTTTTTTAGTTGATGTTTCACTATATCATTATATGCAGTTCCATTCTCTGCACTCTTTGCTCTGATTCCAGGTCAATTTACAGACTCTGAAACCATTCACTGCCTTTGGCCAGTACTTCTGCGCCAAGTCCTTTGCCATTCTGGCCACCTACCGAGAGGCCATCTTCCTGTCGCTGCAGGTCTGTGTGTTTCTCTACATCTTCTGATATAAACATGACATAAAAGTGCCATCATGTTAACTACTGTACCTCAACACAGTATGTAGAGATAAGCATTCCTGTTTTTTAAAATTATTTATCTGACTCAGTAACCTGGGACGGCTGACTCAGTTTCTACCCATATGCTTATAAACAGAATGAAGCCTGAACTTAGAAAGTGTTCATTTGTTTCCGTAAATTTGTCTTCCCGCTTGTCGTCTGTCAGGCAGCAGCATTTCGTTGTAAGAAACAGTTTTCTGCACTGTTTGAGGATGGAGATGAGCTGCTGAAGCAGATGTTAGACTGGGCCTTTGGAGGCTTTCAACCCACAGGGCCAGGCGGACTCAAACCAACGACTTCCATAAATGGTATGAAGATCAGATTAGGAGCTTGAATAAATTTAGTCATTACTTTCATACATCAGTGGGAAGTATTATCATTATTAGCAAAGAGATGATGGACTAGAGAGCTCAGGACATCACCTACAGTTTTGACACCTGAATTTGATTTTGTTTTAGTCTTAGTCTTTTGAAAAAAATGCATTAGATTTAGTCAAATTTTACTCTTGATTTTTTTTGTTAGTTTTAGTCTAGTTCTAGTCAATAAAAAGTAAATATATTTTAGTCGAGTTTTCACCATTTTTATCATGTATTTTTAATATTTACTCTATCTTCTTTATCTTTGTTGTATGCAATTAGCATGGTTACACATGTTGTTCCGGTCTATCCTGAGGTTTGTGGAAAACAGTGTTTAATCACATGATGTCCCTCTGCTCTGCAGAATTAGACTCACTCACATTAGTACAAAAATCCTCTTCACTTGGTTCAACTCAAAAGGTGAAGCTAAATCATCAGATACCATTAAAACAGTGAGATTTCTGCAGGGAGCACTGAGAATGATTTATGGTTGACTGCCCACATTAATCCTGTAACTAACTATTGAGGAGCAACGCAAAAGCTTGAAGGCATGTTAATGTTACATCTGCATCCACAGCATTTCATGTTAAAGTATTATACTATTTCATATGGTGTACTATCCCAGCATTGTTTTTTTGTAATTCTCTGGATTGTTGATGAAGATGGTTCATGTACCCCTTTCTTTCAAGAAGCACTAACTCCAGATGACAGACAGAATGTTACTGAATGTAAGATGGTAGCTTATCAGCAGCAGTGAAACACATCATGCAATTCAGCTCCTGGACAAGAGATTTTTTTTTTTGGGCTTGTGAAGGAAACAGAGAGAACCAGGAAAAAATACAAGAAACAGCAAGAGAGGCAGGCTGGAGGAGAGAGAAAAATTCTTAAAATGCTATGGCAGAATGCATAAAGTAGAAAGTTAAGCTTTTAATAAGTAAGGATAAGCATAAGATGATTTATGTGTGTGTTTTGTTTGAAATAATCATTGGTTGAATGTGTAAGAATAAAAGATAAATTATTCTAAAAGTGATTTTACATATAAAATCTAAGTCACAAAGAGTGAAAGATGCTGAATCATAGACAAAGGGGAAGTAAGACACACACTCCCGATTTTTCAAGTTTTCCCACTTACAGAGAATGGACAGTTCTGTAATTTTCATCGTAGGTACACCTCAACTGTGAGAGACAGAATCTACAAAAAAAACTCCAGAAAATTACATTTAGATTTTTAAATAATTTATTTCCATTTTATTGCATGAAATAAGTATTTGATCACCTACCAACCAGCAAGAATTCTGGCTCTCACAGACCTGTTAGTTTGTCTTTAAGAAGCCCTCCTATCCTCCACTCATTGCCTGTATTAATTGCACCTGTTTGAACTCGTTACCTGTATAAAAGACACCTGTCCACACACTCAATCTATCAGACTCCAACTTCTCCACTATGGGCAAGACCAAAGAGCTGTCTAAGGACACTAGGGGCAAAATTGTAGACCTGCACAAGGCTGGGATGGGCTTAGATGGGATTAGAAAATGGAAGAAATTCAAGATGACTGTCAATCTCCCTCGGACTGGGGCTCCATGCAAGATCTCGCCTCGTGGAGTATCAGTGATCCTGAGAAAGGTGAGGGATCAGCCTAGAACTACACGGGAGGACCTGGTCAATGACCTGAAGAGAGCTGGGACCACATTCTCAACGGTTACCATTAGTAACACACTACACCGTCATGGCTTAAAATCCTGCAGCGCACGCAAAGTCTCTCTGCTCAAGCCAGCACATGTCCAGGCCCATCTGAAGTTTGCCAAAGACCATCTGGAGGATCCAGAGGAGGCATGGGAGAAGGTCGTGGTCAGATGAGACCAAAATAGAACTTTTTGGTATAAACTCCACTTGCCGTGTTTGGAGGAAGGAGGATGAGTACAATCCCAAGGACACCATCCCAACTGTGAAGCATGGGGGTGGAAACATCATGCTTTGGGGTTGCTTTTCTGCAAAGGGGACAGGACGACTGCACCGTATTGAAGAGAGGATGGATGGGGCCATGTAGTGCGAGATTTTGGGCAACAACCTCCTTCCCTCAATAAGAGCATTGAAGATGGGTCGTGGCTGGGTCTTCCAGCATGACAATGACCCCAAACACACAGCCCCAAGCACACAGCCAGGGCAACTAAGGCGTGGCTCCATAAGAAGCATTTCAAGGTCCTGGAGTGGCCTAGCCAGTCTCCAGACCTGAACCCAATAGAAAATCTATGGAGGGAGCTGAAACTCCGTGTTGCCCAGTGACAGTCCCAAAACCTGAAAGATCTGGAGAAGACCTGTATGGAGGAGTGGGCCAAAATCCCTGCTGCAGTGTGTGCAAACCTGGTCAAGAACTACAGGAAACGTCTCACCTCTGTAATTGTAAACAAAGGTTTCGGTACCAAATATTAAGTTCTATGTTTCTATTGTATCAAATACTTATTTCATGCAATAAAATGGAAATTTTTTAAAAATCTAACAATGTGATTTTCTAGATTTTTTTTTTTTGTAGATTCTGTCTCTCACAGTTGAGGTGTAACTACAATGAAAATTACAGATCTGTCCATTCTCTGTAAGTTGGAAAACTTGAAAAATCGGGAGTGTATCAAATACTTATTTGCACCACTGTATGTGACAAAAGAAATAAGAACAGACACTGAGTTTGATAAAATGATGGTTTTATGCCAAAATTAAAGATTTGGTTGATAATTACTGTTTGATCAATGTCTAATCAATAATAATCAATGTTTAGTTAAGTACTGTATTCAAAATATGGAAGATCCGTTTTAATTTTAAGGCATTGATAGTTTTGTGTAAAACCAGTGTGTAATTCTGAGTGTTTAGTTAAAAGCAATGAGATTTTTTGTATTTCAATCTGAAGTGAGTTTTCTGAATTTTCATTAGATATAAGGATGATTTACTTTTCTGAGAAAGGAGAAGTAGAATCTGGAGCTGAATCACAGTGTGGTGGAGGCCAGTTACGGGCAGTGGACTTGATCTTTGACAGTAAAAAGTATGCAGTAGTTCTGAAGAATACGACTTTGCACACCAAATAAAGTATTAACTACAAACTGCGGCATCTGGTTCGATGAGAGGACTTAGTATTTTATACAAAATATCCAGCTGTTTACTTATCACATAATACAAACTGCCATTTGAATTTCCTATCCTTAATAACATCTTATGTCAACTAGATACTGTGCAAAGCAAATATGGTCTTAAGTGGCCAGTGTCATGGCTTTTATTGGTTATTTCAGACAAAATGTAACACTTCCTCAAAGAGCCAGAGTGTACTGGTTTATAAAAATTTCTCAGTACAGTAACATCTGAGGGTATAAGGAGGTAGCTGCCACTATAACTGCAGGTTGTTGTTATTTGGGAGGTTTTGGGGTCTTATCCTGAATTAATAACATGAAAGAGGGAGGTCTGCAGGGAACTCGGTTTGCAGGTTCATGGTAGTCAACTACTGAGTGAATATCTCCATCATAAAATCTCAAGCAGTGTTTGGAGCTTTAATATGTTTCAAATATGCCACCTTAGTGTGAGAGGTTAAGCTTTATTCCTATGTCCAGGGGTTAACATATCGTGGCCTTCATACAAATTTGTTCTGGCTGTCTTGGGGTTGTTTGGCTTCACTTAGCGTAACGTTGGTCATCCTGGATAACTGGTACCATGAAGCCGGTTATCAACTAGCTCTGTTAAGTTAAGTTGGGATTTTCCTATTACACAAACAAGTGTGTTCATGTTAAAGAGGCGGAGCTGTTAGTTAGAGGCAACATCACTAGCACCATGAATGAAGTATGGAATAGAATATGAGATAGAGCAGTGACTGACACCTGTGGGGAAAGCCAGAGCAAAAGTTATGGCAAGTGAACTGTGAACAATAAACTATGGTCGCATACAGTAACTACAATAAAATAAGAAGCTTTTTAATTAGAAGTAACTTTAAAATATTAAGGAAAGACTAATAATAGCTATACCATACATTAGCACAGTATTATCATAAGGGTCTTATTGAGTGAGCATTTTATTCCACTGTCTGATGATGAAGAAACTATTGTGAATACGTATGTTAGTAAAAAATCGACATTTATTGCAGCCAGAGCAAGGAGGAGAGGACAGTGGAGAGGAGTTAAACCTAAAGTCAGATGCTCATTTATAATTATGGGAAATATTATATAAATATATATAAAATAAGATCACCACAGGGTCTCCTCATGCTATTCTGAGCAGCAGAAATGGAAACATCATGAAATTCAGTTGGGAACCAAATAATCTTTGTGCATTTAAAACAGTATTGATCATCATGGAGGTTGTAGATCCCCTCAGTTTGTTAGAAACTCTGCTTTAAACCAGAGTGATCCATGACTGCTCTATCAATATCTATTTAATAGCCTACTTATCACATTAATGTAGACTCTCTCCCTGTCATGATCCAGTAGGAATAATCACTCAGTTTGTCTAGTGATCTGATTCAGGCAGTTGACAGGTTTGGATTCAATCCTCTGAAGTTAACCTGCTCCAGAGCAGGTTAGCCATGCAGTATATAGTAAGTTACCATGTTGTTGTAGCCTGATTAATAGTTAGCCTCATTGTACCGGAAAACCTGAGCTGAACCCAGTATTAACTGGATAAGCCACTAATCTCGTTTCATGTTACAGACCCGTGGTCATTATGTTAATTCATGTCTGTCTGTCCTTCACATTATTGTTTACTTTTTTATTCATTGTCGAAAAATGTAAAACATTTTGTCATAGTTCTCGTTAACAACTGTTAGTTTTTATTTTGTTTTAGTCTCGTTTTTGTCCTGATGAAAAGGGCATCAAAGAATACTTTGTGTCATAGTTTTCACTGACGAAATTACTACTGCCTACAAGCTATGATGTGTTCCACTGGCTTCTGTAATTCAGTAGAACTGGAAGACCAAAAATGCTCCGTTCCAGGTTCTAGGGCGAATGACTACAGCACTCTATAAACCTATACATTTCTCTTTTGTAATTTTACCATCATAGTCAACCTTTCTATTGCATAGACATACTGTATTTCATATATTATATTGGGCTATTATTCCTGGTGCCTTATTCCTTGTATGTCTGGATGACCATTTCCTAGACAGGGTTTGTATTTTTTGCTTGCTATCAATAAGATACTTAGAGTAGCTGTAGAGGCTGTCCCTGGTAGGCTAGTGGTTAAGGTGCAGCGCTCTCGCTGCGGCGCCCTGGTTCGAATCCAGGTTGCATCAGGAAGGGCATCAGGCGTAAAACATGTGCCAAATGTCAACATGCGAGTCGTCAGTGTAATGATTCGCTGTGGCGACTCCTAAACGGGAAAAGCCGAAAGTGACTTTCTTTACTTAGAGTAGATGTATGATTAGATGCTGTTAGACCTAAATATATAACTAAAACATCAGAGAAAATGGTAGTTTTAAATATATTCTCTATTCATTTCTGGATTTCTTGCCAATGTGTACATATATGACTGTCTCCTTTTCCAGGTGTTACTAAAACAAACGAAAGGCCACAGATGAAGAAGCAGCTCTTCCCAAAAGCCACCTCTTCTCCTCAGTCCTTCAACTCCGCCAGCCCTGTGAGCAGCAAAAGCAACATCAGCAGCAAGATGAAACATGTGACCATTTCATTGGACAAACTATCACATGACATAATAGAAAAGTCCTCTCTCAATGGCAGAGGTGGAAAAACTGCATGGAAAGAACGATTTGATTTAACAGGAAAAGGCACCAAAGGAGTCAGGAAGGAGAAGGGATCCAGAGGAGGATGGGCAGCAGAGCCAGGAAAAGAAGGGAACAGAGGATGGGAAGGAGAGAAAGATCAATGGGGAGAAGGATGGGAGAAGGTGAAAGGAGGGTGGGGAAGAGGGAAGGGAAAAGGAGGGTGGAAAGGTGGGAGGAATCAAAATAAGAAATGGAGCCTGTTGGATGGATATGATGATGACATGTCACCAGACTTTGTGCCGCCCAAGAAGAGGACCTTGACCAAAACATACAGCAAAGGCAACCAGGAGCCTAGTGTCTACACCCAGCCGGACCAAAAACTCAGAGGTATGAAGCAAAATTTGATCATTTATTCATCAGTTTAATTATTCAAACACATTTACACAGATGGAGGATTTCATTTCAAATCGATTAATCCTAAATTTTCAAATCACTGCGAAGCAAATCAAATCACTAGGAGGTAAACAAGGTATGCAAATGTACAAAATGGGTCTGCATTTTTGTGGTGGTTGTCCTTAAGATAATACAGTTGAAGTCAGAAGTTTACATACACTTACTGTAGGTTGAAGTCAATAAAACTTATTTTTTTAAAATCACTCCACAGATTGTCATTTTAACAAACTCCTGTTTCGGCAAGTTGGTTAGGGCACTTATACCATTCCACCAGTTGTTCACAGATAGATTATTTCACTTATACAGTGGTGTGAAAAAGTGTTTGCCCCCTTACTGATTTCTTATCTTTTTGCATGTTTGTCACACTGTAATGTTTCAGATCGTCAAACAAATTTATATATTAGTCAAAGATAACACAAGTAAACACATCATGCAGTTTTTAAATGAAGGTTTTTATTATTAAGGGAAAACAAAATCCAAAACTATATAGCCCTGTGTGAACAAGTGTTTGCCCCCCTGTCAAAACACTGGTTTATCGCACCTGAGTTCAATTTCTCTAGCCACACCCAGGCCTGATTACTGCCACACCTGTTCGCAATCAAGAAATCACTTAAATAGGACCTGCCTGACAAAGTGAAGTAGACCAAAAGATCCTCAAAAGCTAGACATCATGCCGAGATCCAAAGAAATTCAAAACCAAATGAGAAAGAGAATAATTGAGCTCTATCAGTTTGGAAAAGGTTATAAAGCCATTTCTAAAGCTTTGGGACTGCAGCGAACCACAGTGAGAGCCATTATCCACAAATGGCGAAAACATGGAACAGTGGAGAACCTTCCCAGGAGTGGCCGGCCGACCAAAATTACCCCAAGAGCGCAGCGACAACTCATCCAAGAGGTCACAAAAGACCCCACAACAACATCCAAAGAACTGCAGGCCTCACTTGCCTCAGTTAAGGTGAGTGTTCATGACTCCACCATAAGAAAGAGACTGGGCAAAAATGGTTTGCATGGCAGAGTTCCAAGACGAAAACCACTGCTGAGCAAAAAGAACATAAAGGCTCGTCTCAGTTTTGCCAGAAAACATCTTGATGATCCCCAAGACTTTTGGGATAATACTCTGTGGACAGACGAGACAAAAGTTGAACTTTTTGGAAGGTGTGTGTCCCATTATGTGTGGCGTAAAAGTAACACCGCATTTCAGAAAAAGAACATCATACCAACAGTAAAATATGGTGGTGGTAGTGTGATGGTCTGGGGCTGTTTTGCTGCTTCAGGCCCTGGAAGACATGCTGTGATAAGTGGAACCATGAATTCTGCTGTGTACCAAAATATCCTGAAGGAGAATGTCCGGCCATCCGTTTGTGACCTCAAGCTGAAGCGAACTTGGGTTCTGCAGCAGGACAATGATCCAAAGCACACCAGCAAGTCCACTTCTGAATGGCTGAAGAAAAACAAAATGAAGACTTTGGAGTGGCCTAGTCAAAGTCCTGACCTGAATCCAATTGAGATGCTGTGGCATGACCTTAAAAAGGCAGTTCATGCCCGAAAACCTTCCAATGTGGCTGACTTACAACAATTCTGCCAAGATGAGTGGGCCAAAATTCCTCCACAGCGCTGTGGCAGACTCATGGCAAGTTATCGAAAACGCTTGATTGCAGTTGTTGCTGCTAAGGGTGGCCCAACCAGTTATTAGGTTTAGGGGGCAAACACTTATTCACACAGGGCTTTGTAGTTTTGGATTTTGTTTTCCCTTAATAATAAAAACCTTCATTTAAAAACTGCATGATGTGTTTACTTGTGTTATCTTTGACTAATATATAAATTTGTTTGACGATCTGAAACATTACAGTGTGACAAACATGCAAAAAGATAAGAAATCAGTAAGGGGGCAAACACTTTTTCACACCACTGTAATTCACTACATCACAATTCCAGTGGGTCTGAAGTTTACATAAACCGAGTTGACTGGGCCTTTAAACAGCCTTGAAAATTCCAGAAAATTATGTCATGGCTTTAGATGCTTCTGATTGGCTGACATAATTTGAGTCAATAGGTGGTGCACATGTGGATGTATTTTAAGGCTTATCTTCAAACTCGGTACCTCTGTTTGACATCATGGGGTAATTTCAAGAAATCAGCCAAGACCTTAGAATAAAACTGTGGACCTCCACAAGCCTGATTCATCCAAGGAACAATTTGCAAATGTCTGAAGGTACCGAGATTCTATATCCACTTAAAATGAGTCCGACATCAACATAACCTGCTGCTCAGCAAGAAGACACCAGTGCTCCAAGACTGCCATAAAAAAGGCAGACTACAGTGTGCAGTTGCATATGGAGTCAAAGATCTGACTTTCTGGACAAATGTACTCTTGTCTGGTGAAACAAACATTTTATTGTTTGGCCATAATGACCATTGTTATGTCTGGAGGAAAAAGGGGGAGGCCTGCAAGCCAAAGAACACCATCCCAACCATGAAGCACGGGGGTAGCAGCACCATGTGGGGCTGCTTTGCTGCAGGAGGGACTGGGACACTTCACAAAACAAATGGCATCATGAGGAAGGAAGATTATGTGGATATATTTAAGCAACATCTCAAGACATCAGCCAGGAAGTTACAGCTTGGTCACAAATGGCTCTTCCAAATGGACAATGAGCCCAAGCAGACTTCCAAATTTGTGGCACAGTGGCTTGAGGACAACAAAGTCAAGGTACTAGAGAGGCCATCACAAAGCCCTGACCTCAGTCCAGTAGAAAATTTGTGGGCAGAACTGAAAAAGCGTGTGAACAAGGAGGCCTCCAACCCTGACTCAGTTCCACCAGTTCTGTCTGAATGGACTAAAATTCCAGCAACTTATTGTAAGGGGCTTGTGGAAGGCATCCTGAAAGGTTTGACCCAAGTTAAACCATTTACAGGCAATGCTACCAAATACTGAGTGAATCTATGTAAACTTCTGACCTACTGGGAATGTGATGAGAAAAATAAAAGCTGAGATAAATCTTTTTCTCTGCTATTATTCTGACATTTCACATTCTTAAAATAAAGTAGTGATCCTACTTCCTAGACAGGGAATGTTTATAGGGTTAAATGTCAGGAGTTGTGAAAAACTGAATTTAGAGTATTTGGCTCAGGTGTATGTAAACTTCTGACTCCAACTGTACCTAAACATTTAATTGATTTTTTTTTACAGTCTAATGTATAAAGCAGTAAGTACATTTTAAATGTTTATTAATGTAAACTATTTGTAGGCTTCTTTTGTGAAGACATAATGTATTATTACAGCAGGCATTTACTGATTTATTTTGCTCGCCATTAGTCACTGCCAAGGCGGCAACTGCTTTCCCTGTGGTCTCTGCTACATCACAATACAGAAATACGGTAAACCCAATAAAGACTAATAATAGCAATAATACCAGCAAAAAGGACAACAACCTACATTATATCTTAGTATACAATGGGACATAACATAAAATTGTCAACGAGCTATATACAACTGTAGTTGTTGGTTGTACAACTAAAATAACATATACATTGAGTGCATTTTTTGACATTAAAATTTCAAGGACTGTAACATGTTCTAGACAAATATATTAGAAGTTCAGAAATGGATAAATTCTTTATCTATTTATACAGCAACCCCCAATTATTGGTACCCATATGAGAAGTCAGTTTTTGACAAACCCATTTATAAACAAATTCTGTCTACTTCCAGCTCCATTATAATCTGTTATAAGCCACTTGGGTAAATGGGAGGCTTAAAATAAAGTGCCTTACTAAGTGTCTTAGTAGCTACTAGCTGTGTACAAAGTAGTAATTTACTTTATTAAAATAAGGCCATCTTTGTAAACAGGAGATGATTAGCATCATGATCTGGAACATAGCTTCGAAAAATCTCAGTTTTAGGGGCCAAATGATGCATTAAATTTTATTATCTTACTTACATATGCATACATGGAGAAATCTTTGTGTTTTTATGGTATTCAGTTTAGGGTATGTGGGAAATATGATTATGCTAACCTCACCAACGTTATTTGACACAGTGGCAATGTTATTAGCCACAATGTGAAGTTTTGTCATTTGTTTATAATGTTATTTTTGTGAAATGTTTATAATGATGTTCTACATGAACATCATTATAAACGGTTTCAGGTCAGATATGTCAGCCATATCCCATTACCTTGTTCAGTCTTCAGGCTAAATGGGTCAGATAATTGCATTCTAAGCTAGTTACTGGGTGCAAATATTTAATACCCGTACTATTACCTGTACTTAAGAACTAATTTGTATTTTGCAAGATGTTTTAATTGAGTAAAGCATAAAAATTCACCTTGTTAACACTTGTGCTGTAAATAGGCTTAGTTTGTAGTGAATAACAGCTGGTGCAACTGGCTTTCTTGGAGCCCTCAATGGGATCTAACCTCAGTTATTTCAGTGAGTCAGCTGCTCAGGCCAACCGATTTTATGCCCATCTGGGAAAATGTGCACAAGTCAGTTGATTTAAAAACAACAAAAGTTGATCAAAGTGCTGTAATTAAAAAGTAAGGTTGAATTAAAAAAATTTTTTTAAATTTATATTGTATGCTCCTTATATTGTGTATATGTTCTGTAAAAAATTGAGTCGAAATGCTGTATAGTAGTTGAATTTGGATTATACAGCATTAACTTTGTTCTTGGTTTCTTTTCTTGCAGAGGAGACCATTCGTAGGATCATGGACATGAAACTGGACATGGAAGGTGAGTGTTTAGGCTTCCATCCATCCATTTTCCTCCGCTTATCCAGAACCGGGTCACGGGGGCAGCAGTCTAAGCAAAGATGCCCAAACTTCCCTCTCTCCAGACACTTCCTCCAGCTCCTCTGGGGGAATTCCAAGGCGTTCCCAGGCCAGCTGAGAGACATTGTCCCTCCAGCGTGTCCTGGGTCTTCCCCGGGGCCTCCTCCTAGTGGGACATGCCTGGAATACCTCCCTAGGAAGGCGCACAAGAGGCATCCGAAACAGATGCTCGAGCCACCGCAGCTGACTCCTCTCAATATGGAGGAGCAGCGGTTCTACTCTGAGCTCCTCCCGGGTGACCGAGCTCCTCACCCTATCTCTGAGGGTGCGCCCGGCAACCCTGCGGAGAAAGCTCATTTCAGCCGCCTGTATCCGGGATCTTGCCCTTTCGGTCATGACCCAAAGCTCATGACCATAGGTGAGAGTCGGAACGTAGATTGACCAGTAAATTGAGAGCTTCGCCTAACAGCTCAGCTCCTTCTTCACCGCAACGGACCGGTACATCAAACGCATTACTGCAGAAGCTGCACCGATCCGCCTGTCAATCTCCCGTTCCATCCTTCCCTCACTCGTGAACAAGACTCCAAGATATTTGAACTCCTCCACTTGAGGCAGGAACTCTCCACCAACCTGAAGGGAACAAGCCACCCTTTTCCGACTGAGAACCATGGCCTCGGATTTGGAGGTGCTGATTCTCATCCCAGCCGCTTCACACTCGGCTGCAAACCGCCCCAGTGCACGCTGGAGGTCCTGGTTTGATGGGGCCAACAGGACAACGTCATCTGCAAAAAGCAGAGAC